TAGATGCTGAACTGAGGCCCCAAAACTACATTATATCTTTTGCTCAAGGTTACACAGTTACTCCTTGTCAGAGCCTGGATTTCAAGTCTGACTTCCTGCAAATCTCAGCAGGTACTAGAACCTCAGGAAAGACTGAGCCCCTTCCCTCTTCTCTTGGGTCCAGGAATAATCTCTGGGCTCCTGTCTGTCCTGCTCTAACTGCAGTGCTCCAAGTAGAGGTCCTGCAGCAGTGCCCTCGTCTCAGCCAGACCACTTCCTGTTGACAAGCCAGCCAGAAAATGCCAGAGAGTGCGTGGAGACCTTAGACACTGCCTTCTCCTCAGCTCATCTGCCTCCATACCGACACCTTGAGACAGGAGACAAAAACACAGACAAAGGCCACATGGATTGGCATCCTGCACTGGTTTCCAGGGCAGATAACCAGGTGCCTGATGCCCCAGGAGAGAAGAAATCCTCTACTCTCCACTCAAAGGTAAATTAGGGAAGGCTATCTCCATGATTATTCTAGGAAGCTGCTCCAGAGCCAGAGCATGGGAACATCTGTGCCCCGGGCTCTGTTCTGGATGCGGCTCAGGCCACAGTCTTGGGGAGTGGGGGCGTCAGCTGGAGTCACACTGCCTGGAGGAGGCTCTGGCTGGCCGGCTGAGGAGGGAGCCTCTGGCCACTGCCTCAGGAGACAGAGAGCCCAGGCCAGGCAGGGAGCAAGGGTAGGGCCTGAGGCTTGGGCACCGGGGGTCTTCTCCATCAGCTGTGTGTGCTAAAGGGCTGGGGGAGTCCTGATCATAGCAGGTGGGCTTGGGGGCCACAGCTCCCCCTCCCCAGACCCCTGGATCCAAGGCACCTCCCTTCCCTCTGCCTTTGGAGACAGGCTTGTGTGGGCATCTCTCAGCTCCTCCCCCAGACTGTCCATCAAAGTTGCAGGGAACATGGAAACCATCTGCCAACTATCCCTCCCCTGACTCTTCTTCTCCAGTTGGCATATTTTTCAAACTTAAATTTTATTTTCTTGAAAGGTAATATATTTACATGGTTCAAAATAAAAATATTCTTTTAAAAAAGCCATATATTGAGAAGCCTCACTTCTACCTGTGGCTCCATCTACTCTCTCTTCAGCTCCTCTTTCTGATTAAGACCCAGGCACCTGCTCCACTGAACTCATGGGGGTCCTTTCTGTGTTTCTTGAAGCAAATCATCTATAGATATTTTTATTTTTATTCCTCCCCTATTATACATTTTAAAATAGCATACTATGTACCTTACTGTTTTTACTTTGTATATACTGGAGATATTTCCTTATCATTATTTGAGAGCATCCTCATTTTTTTCCCAGCTGCTTAGTATTTCTTCTTCTGTCTACACCATAGTTTATTAACCACCACCCTAAAGATGAGCATATGAATCACTTCCAATCTTTCCAATCTTATTTTCAAATGAGATCTTGAGTGGGAGTTTGATTCAAGCCAGATTGCTCTGGTTAGAGAAAATGCTGGGTGGGCCAACACTCTACTTGNGTCGCTCAGTTGTGTGCAACTCTTTGAGACCTCATGGACTACAGCCCGCCAGGCTCCTCTGTCCATGGGGATTCTCCAGGCAAGAATACTGGAGTGGGTTGCCATGCCCTCCTCCAGGGGATCTTCCCAACCCAGAGATCGAACCCAGGTCTCCTGCATTGCAGGCGGATTCTTTACTGACTGAGACGCCAGGGAAGCCCAAGAGTACTGAAGTGGGTAGCCTATCCCTTCTCCAGGGGATCTTCCCGCCATAGGAATCGAACCAGGGTCTCCTGCATTGCAAGCTGGTTCAAGTAGCCTAGTTATTTTTTTCATCATTGACTCAAGAAACAAGAATCTTGTAAAATGGGAAGAACACAAGTAATACATCTAGTGACCTCAATATGTTTGTAAGTAAGTAAGCAGTGTTATCTTCTAAGAAGTTCCATGGCTTGGGCTAGAAAAATTGATCTCTATGGTGGAGCAGACATTTCTGCTTTTTAGGAGGTCAGATTGGAGAAGGCAATGGCAATCCACTCCAGTACTCTTGCCTGGAAAATCCCATGGAGGTAGGAGCCTGGTAGGCTACAGTCCATGGGGTTGCTAAGAGTTGGACATGACTGAGCGACTTCACTTTCACTTTTCACTTTCATGCATTGGAGAAGGAAATGCCAACCAACTCCATTATTCTTGCCTGGAGAATCCCAGGGACAGGGGAGCCGTCCCTGGGATGGGACGGCTGCCATCTATGGGGTCTGCCGCCTATGGGGGCTGCCATCTATGGGGTCTCACAGAGTTGGACACGACTGATGCGACTTAGCAGCAGCAGCATCAGGAGGAGGTCAGATTAATGCACAATGCATACTAGCAAGGAAGGAAGAGGCCCAAATGGGCAGAGAAACATTTTATTTGCAATTTTTTTTCATTTATTTATTTTTTTTTATTTTTATTAGTTGGAGGCTACTTTACAATATTGTAGTGGTTTTTGTCATACATTGACATGAATCAGCCATGGATTTACATGTATTCCCCATCCCAGTCCCCCCTCCCCCCTCCCTCTCTACCCAATCCCTCTGGGTCTTCCCAGTGCACCAGTCCCGAGCACTTGTCTCATGCATCCAACCTGGGCTGGTGATCTGTTTCACCCTAGATAATATACATGTTTCAATGCTGTTCTCTCTAAACATCCCACCCTCACCTTCTCCCACAGAGTCCAAAAGTCTGTTCTGTACATCTATGTCTCTTTTTCTGTTTTGCACATAGGGTTATCATTACCATCTTTCTAAATTCCATATATATGTGTTAGTAGTTGGAGGCTAATTACTTTACGATATTGTAGTGGGTTTTGCCATACATTGACATGAATCAGCCATGGATTTACATGTATTCCCCATCCCAGTCCCCCCTCCCCCCTCCCTCTCTACCCAATCCCTCTGGGTCTTCCCAGTGCACCAGTCCTGAGCACTTGTCTCATGCATCCAACCTGGGCTGGTGATCTGTTTCACCCTTGATAGTTTACTTGTTTCTCTTGCTTTAAAATATGAATTTTATTTCATTCCTTCTTAAGATTTGCCTGCCATAGGATGACCTTCTGGGAGCCCTCCCCCTCCACCCCCCTACCAATGGTTGAGGATCACACGCTTCATCCCAGTGCAGGAGTGAGGGGCAGCAGAGGGGATCCTGCCCCTCCCCTCCCCCGCAGCTCTGCTTGCCTGGCCCTTCTGGTCCTGGTGACACCAGGATGCTGGGCTCTGAGGCTCTGTGATTGAGGACAGGAGACTTGTGGGAACTTCACAGCCACCAGTTATTGCAAAGGCCTGCTGATCTCAATGCAAGGGAGTAAAAGGGCACACACACATGTACACACATGTGCACTGAGCATGCACACAAGCACACACCTTTAGAGCGAGGCATCCAGATGGTGTCACAGCCCCTTTAAGAGCTAGGGCACTGGGGTGGGGCCCGACATCTAGTGTCCCAGGCTGGGCCACACCCCCAGGCTCTACTCTAGGCCTGGGTGGGGAGTCAGTGGGAGGGGCTCCCAGAGACCTCTGTTTGGGTGAGGATGGAAATTGACTGGGACTCCTCTGAGCTCTAGGCAAATTTGCGGCAAGTAGACTGAAGCGACTTAGCAGTAGCAGCAGAATATGTGGATTTTGTTTTGTTTTGCTTTCTTTCTTTTCTTTCATGTTTATATTGAGGTTGAAAAAAGTTATTATGAATGTGGGAGAATAGAAAAAGCCATTCTCTATGATTGACAGCAGTGCTGATAGGAGCAAGAAGTTCCAGAAAATTTTTTTAAATTGTGCACATTTATATAGTTCAAATTATGCCTGAGTCCCAGAGAAGCAGGAAGCAACATCAAAAAGCAACTGACACAGAAAAACACACATGTGTGTCACCTCACACTCAAACAATACAGTTTCTTTGACAATGAAAGCAGCAACCCCCACCCCCTACAAACCAACTGCCCAAGAAAATTTGAAACTTTCTCTTGAAGAACAGAGTCGCTCGGTAATTTTTGGTCCCCAGAACAGAAGGAAAAAAAGGAAAAACAAAACAAAACAAAATACCCAGACAGGTTGGCGGTGTCCATGCTCTTCTCCCTGTAGAGGCAGGATCTGCTATTTTGATCACTGAGTCAGGGGGACCACATCGCTGCCCCTCACAAACACTGCAGACAGGTGTCTTCAAGACCCTGGGGTTCTTCGCCAGTTCTTTTTTTTTTTTTTTTTTTATTCCCCAGAGAGTAGTTGGGATGGAAGGCATCTACCCCTGGCTTCCTCTAAGATGCCATCTAAGCAACGGATGTTTAGTAAGCCTGCAAAAATTCTGGAGCCAATCTCTTGGAGGACTGAGCACCAAGTGGGGCCCAGGAGCCCAGAATATCTCATGCAAGAATCTCGCCCACTAGAAATTATTGACCTTCAGAGGTTTTTTAGCTTAAAGGGGAGGTGCATGGTACAGTTGCTCCACTGGGAGAAAAAAAGCCCAATCCCTTCCTACCTGCCCACACCCCCCACTCCCCCAACCACACCATTAAGGCACTGCCAGGGGGACAGACACGCTTTGGCAATGAGGCCCCTCCGGAGGCCCAGGGTGTGAACAGCTACACAGAGGGCTGTGTGCCTGTGCTGCGGAGTCAGCACCTTAGGAGGTGGGAGGGGACTGTGGGCAGAGAAAGAAGGAGTCTCAAGTCCTGATGGATCAGAAGGAAAATGGAGAGAGGTGGTCAGGACACAGGAGATGAAAACCAAGGATGATCAGAAAAGGGCCAAAAAGCAGAAAATGAAGGAAAGATGAGAGCAGCAAGAGAAAGAGACAAAACAGGACTTGAACAACCAAAGAAACCAGGAAGGAGACAGAGCAGCAGGAGGGAAGGAAACAGAAAAGAGAGTGAGATGCATGGGGTAGGATGTTAGGAGGGAGAGAGGGAGCCAGGAAGACATCAGAGGATGTCAGAGCTCGGTGAGAATACCTCCTATGAGCAGGGGATCAGGAGTCCGTGGGCTAATCCTCAGTCCCTAGAAAAATCTGGGAGGCCCAGAACACCAGGTCGACCATGTAAACCAGCAGGTTGATGGCTGTCAGGATGGCCACAGCCAGTCGCTGGTCCCAGGTGCACATGTTGTAGGAGAGCTCATCAGTGCAGCTCATGTCCATGAACCGCTGAGGCAGTCCGCCGAACTCCTCATTAAACTGGTAGAGCAGCCAGAGGACCAGAGCGCTGATGTAGAGGAGGATGGAGAGCAGGGTGAGCACAAGCTGGAAAATGGAGAAGGTCCTGGGCGGCATGTATTCCCATTCAGCCAGGCCCAGCAGGAGGACCACAGCTGCCAGGATGAAGGAGATGGAGTACACGGCCACACACCACTCCAGGGCCGGCTGGTGCAGGTACAGGGAGGTGTTGCTGAGGAAGGCGAAGATGACACCGGCCACGAAGCTCTCCAGCACCTTCAGCAGGGCTTGCAAGGTGTGCTTGTAGAAGAAGATCTCCTTGAGCTTATAGCAGGCCCACATCACGGACACTTCTATGACATACAGCACAGATGCGATGCAGGAGAAAGCAGTGGCAGCGATGGCCCGGTCCCGGAAAGGACCATAAGGCACAAACTGGACGTAGGTGATGGAGTAGATGATGGAGGCTGAGAGGCAGATGAGGGCAGCGCAGCAGGCATAGGTGATGCACATGTTGTACCAGAAGAAAGGAAAGTTGATATAGAGACAGCACAACTCAACTATGGAGATGATGAAGGTCATGGCGAAACAGATGCACCAGAAGGACATGGACCAGTTACCTATGGCCCCTCTCCGAATGCCCATGTCAGCCACAAGCGAGAAGGCCACACAGGTGGAGAAGAGCTGTGGCAGGCGGAGGAGCCAGAACACGCACCAGATGAAATCTCTGCTTGGCAATGTCCACCGGGTGGACATGGTGCTGTGACGGTCAGGCAGGTCACAGTCACCAGTAGAGCAGTGGTCTTCCCTGAGGACCCACCAGAGGAAGATCCAGTTTCAGAGGTGGATTAAGTCAGATGCCTGGAAAAGGCTCAGGGCCCCTTGAGGGCTGAGGCTCAGGATCTGTAGAGTTGGAACCAATGGCTCAGATACTCGGGTAACAGCACAGCTGCTCCAGAATGGCTCTCCCCACCCATCACCCTTGACCTTGTCAGGAGCTTTATCTTATCCCAAACCTCACAGCTGGGTTGGGTCAGGCCTCAACCATGAATGCTTTTTATATCTCTTCGTGCTGCGCTGCGTCCCATTATCTCTAGAGACACAAGGTAGGATGGTCCTTATCTGCAACCCCAAACCTTCAAGCCTCTGAAAACTGAAGAAGAATTTTTTAAAGTTCATTTGGTAGCAAAATATGACCTGAACAGATCTGGGATAATTTATGAGCTTCATGTATTTTATGTATTATGGGTGGTCAAACATGCAGCTGTAGAAACACTAATGTATTTGATTACAAGGAGCTTCTAGACCCCAGTGGGATGTTACGTCATATAGAGTAGATGCACCATGTCACTTGTCTGAAACTGAAAAATCTTAATTCTGGAGCATATCCAACTCAAGGGTTTCATAAAAGAGACTGTGGATTATACTGCTAACCCCATTTTATAGATGAGAAAACTAAGGCTCAAGGAATCAAATGCCTTCACCTAAGGTGGCCTGCATGACCAGGAAGAGGGAACTCAGAAAACACAGCTAAAGCTGTGGGTTTGAGCACTTTGCTCTACAGTCCACATGTCAGCAGGGCCCACGGGTGGGAGCTCAGGACCCACCTTCACGGCCCTCGGCCTCCTTCCATAGCAAGCTGAAGACACACGTGTCCTGGCCTGTCCTCCCTGCAGCATCACTAGAAGGAGCTGCAATCTGAGGGACACAGTCCCACCTGGAGGAAGGAAGCTTCTGGGGTGAGCAGAGAGGAGCCATGGGGTGAGAGCAAGGCTGTGGGGACAAGATGACGTGGGAAGTAGGGACTGTTCTAAATTCCCACCCCCTAATTTTGCCTTAACATGTGACTCTTCCCCACTGGGGAAAGGAGACACCCACCCAGAATGACTCTGGGGTGGCGTCATGAGGAACCACAGAATAAACTGACATCATGTTTGATTTTTTAGCTTCAAAGCTGCCATCCAAGTAAGAGTCCAGAAAAATCTAGAAAGCAGTCCTACCTGAGTGAGGAATTTCCTGGCCTGGGAGACTGGTTAGCAGCTTCCAAGCTGGGAAGAGGGATTGGAAATGAACAAGGATGCTGTGTCTGATGCTGATGGGGAGCCTTCCAGGGCATCCCAGGGAGGGGGTAAGGATGGACAAATGGTCGGCCCCCTTTTAAGAGCAGGAGCTGAAAGAGGAGGCACCTGCAGGACCCTTGGGAGGGGACAGCCCTGAGAATGCACCCGGGACAGGGGCAGGGGTGAGGGGGTGCAGAGTGGAGATGACTGGGGGGGATTCTAGGATCCCAGTGGCCCTGAGACATCCCAGTAGGTGTCTTCTGATCCAGAAAGGATGCAGGCTTGGAGCCAACCTTCGTCATGGAGGTGGGGCCTGTACTGGAACTGAGACAGGAGAACAGGGGCCTCAAGGGGTTTCAGGGCTGTGACAGGGACACGTGGCCAGAGTGGCAGGGACCCTAGAGACCATGGAATTGCCCAGGTCACCTGCCCCAGACAGTCCCACCAGCCAGGGCTGCAGTCCTGCTCACACAGGGGCTCCTCCAGGGTCCAGTGTGGGGGCAGTGAGGCCCCTCCCAGCCCGCCCCCTCCTGGGACAGCTGCCCAGTTTCCAAGGGACTATTTGCTGAGAGGCCCCCAGGGCTGAAGGGCCAGCACCCTGAACCCCAGCCAGCTTCCTGCCATCGGGGGCCTTGTCTCCTTTGCTAATAATAAACCCTAGGAAAGGCTATGGCTTGACAATGAAGCAGCCAGGAATAAGGAAGTTCTGGAGACTGAGGCACTGTTGTGGTTGTGTGAGCAATCCAGGGAGGCTCTATGCCTTTCTCTTCTAAACAACTATTTACTATATTTTCACTGTGTACCAGGCACTGCAGATTCCACAGCAAAACCCAATTCCTGCCCTGAACGAGCACCTGAATCAATGCAAAGACATTCTGTCTAGAGCAGGTGAGCAGAGGAGAGCCAAGGACTCTTGAGGACTTTTCAGAGAACTCTCCAGCTGAGCAGAGATTGAAATTCTCTGTGCAAGTCCAGAGAACAGGGCAAGTGGACTTTGCACTCCCTAAGGAAAGAAAGCAACTGCATAACAAGATGGCCCACTGTGGGAGGTGATGTTGTTAGAGCCTTCCCGGTCAAGCTGTTGAACCAGTCTGGGGGAGGGGGATGTGACTGATGGTCCCCAAAGAGTATCCCATGGAATACTGTCCATGATGTTCCATGGAAAAAAACCACTTCCCTGATCATATAAATCTGGGAACCACTTACTGCTATAGATCTCTTTTAGTCCTAAGAAGTCCTGCAAAAAAGAAATCTGTCCAACTTTTTAACCCAGCTTTAGGTGTATTTGACCAAATAAATTTTTCTTGTCTTAAAATACAAATTTTATTTTATTGCTTCTTAAGATTTTCCTGCCATGAGGACCACCTCCTGGGAGCCCTTCCCCTCCATCCAACCTGCCCCAGGGTGAGGATCACATGCTTCACCCCAGTATAGGAGTGAGGGGCAGCAGTGGGGGTCCTTCCCTCCCCTCCCCCACAGTTCTGCTTGCCTGGCCCCTCTGGGCCTGGTGACTCTAGGATGCTGCGCTCTGAGGCTTTGTAACTGAGAACAAGAGAAGAAGGCTTGAGATGACTTCGCCAGTTATTTAAAGGGCTGCTGGTCTTAATGTATGCCTGCCCACTCACACACACACACACACACACACACACACGCACGCACACACACAGCCACACACAGTCAGTATGCATAAAGCACACATCTTTAAAGACAGGCATCTAAGGGCTAGCCGGGCCCCTTTAAGACCTAGGCTTTTTCTGATTTCTAGTCAAATTTGGGCAATTAGGACCTATGGATTTTGTTGGTTTCATTTTCATTCTGTTTATTTTATCTTTGAGGTTTTAAAAAAAAGAACATTGTGGATGTGGACGAAAGGACAAGATTTCTCTCTATGGTTGACAGCAGGGGCTGATGGGGATTGGAAACTCCAGGTAATTAAAAGAAACCATACATATTTTTTTCTACATTTATATAGGTCACTTTATGCCTGAGTCTCAGAAAAGCAGAAAGCAGTGGCAAAAAGCCACTGACACGTGTGTGCGCACACACACTCAAGTACTGCAATTCATTTGACTACAGCAGTTAAAATCCCCACTCAGTCAACCCACCTTCCCCAGAAAAACAGAAAAGAAATTTCACCTTTAAGAACAGGTCCATTCAGTCAATTTTATCCTCCTGACCAGAAAAAGAAAACAAAAAACCCCAGGCAGGCTAACATCAGCTTTAAGGCTGGCAGGCCATGCTCTTCTCATTGCAGAGACAGGACCTGCTCTTTTGATCACTGAGGCAGGAGGGCCACATCACTGCCCCTCACCAACACTGCAGACAGGAGTCTTCAAGACTCTGGGGTTCTCCACCAGCTCCTACTTTGATTCCCCAGAGAGCAGTTAGGATAGGAAGCATTCAGCCTTTGCTTCCTTTAAGACGGCCTCTGCAGGCGGTGGGTTTTCAGCAAGCTTGGAGAAATTCTGGAGCCAATGTCAGACGGGCCAACCACTAGCTGGGCCCAGGGACCCAGGGTCTCTGCTTCAAGAGTCCTCCCACTGGAAATTACTGACCTCCAGAGATTTTTTTTTTTTAACTTAAATTTAGGGAGACACACTGTACAAAAAGAAAAAGGACCCAATGCCTTGCTACACACCCCCATCCCCAAACCCATCACACACCCCCAGGGGGACAGACACGCTTTGGCAACAAGGCCCCTCCGGAGGCCCAGGGTGTGAACAGCTGCACAGAGGGCTGTGTGCTGTGCAGTCAGCACCTTAGGAGGTGGGAGGGGCCGGTGGGCAGAGAAGGAAGGAGTCTCAGGTCCTGATGGATCAGAAGAAGGAAAATGGAGAGAGGTGGTCATGACACAGGAGACGAAAAAACCAAGAATGACCAGAAAAGGGGAAAAAAGCAGAAAATGTAGGAAAGATGAGAGAAGTAAGAAAAAGGCAAAACAGGACATGGGCAACCAAAGAAAATAGGAAGGAGATAGAGAAGAAGGTGGGAAGGAAATGGGAAAGGGGATGAGATGAATGCAGAAGGATGTGAGAAGGGAGAGGAGAGCCAGAAAGAGGACATCAGAGCTTGGTGATGAACTTCAGGTGAGACAAGGGAGGAACTGGGAGCCCTTGGGCAAAGTCTCAGCTGCTGTTAAAATTCAGGCGGGCAGAGAACACCAGGTCAGTCACATAAATCAGCAGGTTGATGGCTGTCAAACTAACCACAGCCAGTTGTTGGTCCCAGATGCACACAGAGGTGGGGAGTCCACTGCTGCAGTTCACATCACTGGACCGCTGCCTGCCCAACTCCTCATTGAACTGGTAGAGCGGCCAGAGGAGCAGAGCAGTGGTGTAGAGGAGGACGGAAAGCAGGGTCAGCACAAGCTGGAAAATGGAGAAGGGGATGGACAGCCTGTTGTCACATTTGCCCAGGATCAGCAGGATGGCCACGGATGACAAGATGAAGCAAATGGAGTACACGGCCACACACCACTCCAGGGCTGGCTGGTGCAGGTACAGGGAGGTGTTGCTGAGGAAGACAAAGATGACACAGGCCACAATGGTCTCCAGCCCCTTAAGCAGGCCTGGCACAGTGGCCATATAGCCTGTGATCATGTTGGGCTGGGCCCTAGTCCAGGTCACATCCATGGCATAAGCCACAAAGGCGATGCAGGAGAATACAGTGGAGATGATGGTGCGGTCCCAGTCGTGGCTGTTGGACAAGAGCTGGACGTAGATGATGGGGTAGATGATGGAGGCCGAGAGGCAGAGGAGGGCAGAGTAGCAGTTGCAGGTGGTGAGAAAGTTGTCCCAGGAGAAGGGGAAGTGGCCCTCCAGCCCACATAACTCAACTATGAGGATGAGGAGGGTCAGGACGAAGCAGAAGCACCAGATGAACATGGGCCAGTTACCTATGGCCCCCTTCCAGGTGCCCACGCTGGCCCCCAGAGAGAAGGCCATGCAGGTGGAGAACAGCTGCAGCTGTCGGAGGCAGCAGCCCATAATGGTCGGGGAGCCCGGGGCCTGAGGACGATCATGTGGTAGTCGTTCTGGTCTTACTGGTCACCGGTATGGCAGGGGTCTTCGCTGAGGATCCACCTGAGAAAAGTCCAGCCCTGGAGGGGGATTAAGTCAGATGCCAGGGAAAGGCTCAGGGCCCTGTGACGGCTGAGGCTCAGGATCTGTGGAGCTGGAATCAATGGCTCAGACACTCGGGTAACAGCACAGCTGCCCCCGAATGGTTCTCCTTCACCCATCACCCTTGACCTTGTCACGAGACTTGTCTTATCCCAAAGCTCACAGCTGGGTTGGGTCTGGCATCAGACCACGAACATTTTTTCACCTCTTTCTGCTGCGTGCCATTATCTATGGAGACACAGGGTAGCCTGACCCTTATCTGCGACTCCAACCTTTCAAAGTTCTGAAAATTGAACAAGAATTAAAAAAAAAAAATTGTATGGTGACAAAATTTGAACTGAACAGACCCAGACCATTTATGGCCTTTATTTCATGTAGTGTGAATGTTCAAAAGTCAGTTGCAGAAACACTAATGTGTTTGATTACAAGGTGTTTCAGACCCCAGTGGGGTATTATGTCATGTAGGATAGATGCACCATGTTACATAAATGAAGCTGAAAAATTCGGAGTCCTGGAGCATATCTGACCCACATGGTTTCAGAAAAGAGACTGTGGATTGTACTGCTAACCCCATTTTACAGATGAGAAAACTAAGGCTGGGGGAATTAAGTCCTTCCCAAAGGTGGCACTGGAGAAGGAAATGGCAATCCACTCCAGTATTCTTGCCTGGAAAATCCCATGGACAAAGGCCTGGTAAGATACAATCCATGGGGCTGCCAAGAGTCAGACACGACTGAGCACACTCACATACTAAGGTTGCATGACTAGGAAATGGGAACCCAAATAACAATGCCAAAGCTGCAGATTTGAAGGCTTTGCTCTATAGCCCACATGTCAAAAGGGCCCATGGGTGGGAGCCCAGGACCAAAGCTCAAGGCTCTGGGACCCAGGACACACTTTCAAGGCCACAGCAACTCCTTCCACAGCAACCTGAAGACATACGGGTCCCGGCCTTTCCTCCTTGCAGCCATCACTAGAAGGAGCTGCCATCTGAGGGGACACAGCCCCACCCGGAGGAGGGCGGCTGCAGGGGTGAACAGGGAGGAGCCATGGGGTGAGAGCAAGGCTGGGGGGACAGGATGACATGAGAAGTAGGGACTGTTCTGAATCCCCTCCCCCAAGTTTTACCTTAACATGTAACTCTTGCACATTGGAGAAGGGAGACCCCAATCCAGCATGACTCCAAGGTAGAGGATCATGGAGGAACCATAGAATAAATTAACATGTTTGGCTCTTAAGCTCCAAAGCTGCCATCCAGGTGGAAGTCTGGAAAGATCTAGGAACAGTCCTACCTGAGCAGGATTTTCCTGGCCTGGGAGACTGGTTAGCAGCTTCCAAGCTGGGAACCAAGGGATTGGAAATGAACAAGGATGCTGTGTCTGATGCTGAATGGAGCCTTTCAGGGCATCCCAGGGAGTGGGTGGGGATGGATGGATGATCAGCCCCCTTTTAAAGACAAAAGCTGAAAGAGGAGGCACCTGCTGGACCCCTGGGAGGAGACAGCCCTGAGGATGCACCTGGGATTGTGGCAGGGCTGGGGGGAACAGAGTGGAGACGACTGGGGGGGAATTCTAGAGTACCAGTGGCCCTGAGGCAGCCCAATAGGTGTCTTCTGACCCAGAAGGGATGCAGGCATGGAGCCAACCTTCCCCATAGAGGAGAGGCCTGGAGTGGAACTGAAGAAGCCCCATGAAAGCCTTAACACATCTGAAATGCTATGAATTGTGAGCCCCGAGAAGTGTCCCTGGACAGTGACATGCCATCTTCACCATCTTTCCTTATAGCCCAATGTTTGGCTCCTTTGTGTCGCCACGGAGTCCCTCTGAACATTGCACATTCTGGTGAAATCCTTACAGACGTGACAGAGCCAGCCTGGCCTCTGGGAGCCAGAGTGGTGTTAAGGACTCAGGCCAGAGATATTACTCAAACAAACCAACAATCTCAGGGGCAGAATAGCAGCAATTATTTAAGTATTCTTGGAAACGCCAAAATTTTCTTTCTTCTAGTTTGTACTAATTTTTTCCTCTAGGCTGCAGAACAGGACTTGCATTCTCAGCACAATAGCACCAACTCCCTCATTCCACCCTCCCTTCCCCAAGACACACCACAGACACACACAGACACACACACACACACACACACACACACACACACACATATTCTCAGCACAGACACACACACAGCAGAGGCTTCACCACAGACACACACACACCACAGAAACACACACACACACAACATGAGGCAGAGGCTTCTGTGAGTTCATAGAAAGCCCATGACCCAGGAAACTGGAGCCCATCCTCTGTGACTCCTGGTCAGTGTGGTGGAACCTAGCTCCTCTGCGAGTTGCATTAGGTGGAGGAACCAAGGTTGGCGGAGGGGGAGGGTGCTGGGGACAACAGCTGGAGAAAAGGGTCCTCCTCAAACAGTTCAGAGCCCTGGAGAAGCCGCCCAGCATACTTAACTACAGCGTCTTTGCCCACAGTGGAGGCAGAGAGCCACTTGATATCCTCAGACAGTAGGTGGCGCTCTTGTACCTGGTACTCAGAACGTGGACACACTCCCACCCCTACCTGAGGCCTGACACTCGGGTGCCTCTCCCATAATGGCCCCTGAGGACCAGTAGCTGCCACCTAGAACCAGCTTCTCCAGGAACAGCAGCCTCACTCCTGCCTCCATCACCAATCACATTAGTGAGGGCCTCAGTGACTGTCAAAACATCACCAGGCTCTTACCAGGGTCTCCAGTAACGTCACTTCCTCTGCCCCACTCCCCATTTTCCAGTAATTGTGCCCAGAGCATGCAAGCTAATTGAAACAAGACACGGACTTTTGTGCTAAAGCAGCCTTCACCAGAGAGGCAAGGGCGGCTTCTGGAAAATGTTAATGCTTTCCTGTTGGATGCAAATCCTGCTTGGAACTTAGCTTCAAACGAAACCTCATCTGTAAAATGAGGGGGTTGGACAATCCCGAAGAGCCATGCTGGCTCTGAGAGTTTATGCTACTGTGAAAAAAATTCCAGCTGAGCCCTGGGTCAGGGAGCCAAAGGCTACTTCTGGTAGGCAATGGTGTTGTCACAAAGTGGTTGCAAATCAGTTTTTCTTTTAGGCCCTGCAGCTGATAGGTTAATTTCTATTTTGTGGGCCTTACTCTGAATAATTCCATGAAAATCTCTCCACTGACATCACCAACCACCAGATAGGAGGTCCCCAATGTGCTAACCTCAGGCTGAGTCACTTTTCGAAGACTTGGCTCCAGGTAGAAAAAATGATTGCTTATGATTGGGACCCCTAGTTGCCATGGAAACCAAGTTTCTCCCTCTCTATCCATCTTCAGGAGATGTGAGCTTCAGAGGGTTTCCCACCTACCCATGCTCAGAATCGAACCTAAGAAGTCCAATCTTGGGTCAGGCAAATCCATCAGATATTGAAGACAGACAAAAGTTCTGTGCTCTGGACAGTAGAACAACCTGAATTTGGGAGGTGTGCACTTCACTGCCATATAATTTTGGCTTGGAGGTTTATTGTTTGTTTGTTTGGTTAATTATTTCTTATGGAATTTCTCCACATAGGTCCAGTCTTCCTGAGACTTCCTAAGTTCTTTATTTGGAAAAGAAAAAGATCCCCCCAAAAAAATCCTTTAATAAGAAAAGAGAGAGAGAAAAGAGGTTTATAACCATTTCAGCTGGAAGACCCAAACCACTGAGTAGAGAAATGTGTTTAGAGAAGATCAGCAGGTATGAGATGAACCACAGCTAAGACCAGCAGACAATTTCTAAATCGACAAAGCAAAGAGCTTTCTCTTTACTCCACTTCAAAATTCTTTGGGATCCTGGAACCTCCACACTAAAAGAAGTCTGAGAAGTCACCTGGTGTAACTACCCAGCTTACGGCAATCTGTGTTCCTCCATCCTTGGCAATTGTCAGCCTACTCTCTGCTTCCCTGGGCAGTCAATTCTATATTCTTATAACTTGGCTGAAAAAAAACCTCCTGAGGTTCTTAGAATGAGCTGAAATCAGCCTCCCTGTTCCTCCCATTCACGAGTCACAGGTTTGTTCTCAGGACCATGCAGAGAAAAAAGTACAAACTCTAGTCCCAGTGAGCTTGGACAGCACTATTGGCAGCAGGTGCCGTGTCATCTTCTCTTCTGGATGAATACCCTTCGTTCTTTTCATCGCTCCTCATTTTCAGGCATTTCCAGACCCTTCACCCTCCTGGCCACCTCCCTCTGGATGCTTTCCAAATGGTCAGCTTCCCTTTCACACTGTAACTGGGATTCTGTGCTGATGATCCGGATTCTGAGTTGATGGACTGTTGGATGTAGAAAGTGAAAGTTGCTCAGTTGTGTCCGGCTCTTTGTGATCCCACAGACTATACAGCTCATGGAATTCTGCAGGCCAGGATACTGGAGTGGGTGCCCTTTCCCTTCTCCAGGGATCTTTCCAACACAGGGATCAAACCCAGGTCTCCCACATTGCAGGCAGATTCTTTACCAGCTGAGCCACAAGGGAAGCCCAAGAATACTGACATGGATAGCCTATCCCTTCTCCAATGGATCTTCCTGACCCAGAAATCAAACGAAGGTCTCCTGCATTGCTGGTAGATTCGTTACCAACTGAGCTATCAGGGAAGAAACAAGCTCAAACCTGAAACTGCGAAGCCACATAGGGGTGGCTCACCAGAAACGAGCTACAGGGACATGTCCTCTCATCAAGGACATCTTTGAGTTGCTGGCAAACACTGTGGCATGTTGTCTACCATGAGAACCACATGCTGAAGTGAAAGTGTTAGTCACTCCGTTGTGTCCAATTCTTTGCAACTTTACGGACTGTGGCCTATCCAAGAATCCATGTAGCTTCTCCAGGCAAGAATACTGGAGTGAGTTGCTATGCCCTCCTACAGGGGACTCTTCCCAACCCGTGGATTGAACCCAGGTCTCCCACATTGCAGACAGATTCTTTACCATCTGAGCCACCAGGGAAGCCCCAAACATATCCTTAAGTGTCTCTAGAGAATCAGAGTATAGTTGGAAGTGATTCCTTTTTCCTTCAGTGAATGCTTAGTATCAACCTTTTAAGATTCTATCTCTGATCATAGAAGAAAGGTTTTGGAGCCATGATAATAGATGGTCCAGTCTCTAACCTCAAGGAGATTCACTGGTATCATCTATAGAAGCTTAATTGGTCCAGGTGTGCTTGCTCTAAACAACTTTGGAAGAATTCTGCTTGTGATTTTAATAAAAAGCTTAGTCATAGAAGATCATAGATGATTGGAGATG